TTGGACTTGTATATGATATGGTTGTAATTAATATTATTTTGTGGGCGGGCGGGAAGGTTTATGAAACTATGGCGGGAAGGTTTCAGTATGTTTCTTTGAGTAAATAATTAATCCAATGTTTTACATTACATGTAAACATATCAAACTCTAATTATGTCACAGTCAGGGATTTTTTATGCGTTCAAGGACTGAACCTTTGATGAAATACGTAAACACACACACACACACACACACACACACACACACACACACACACACACACACACACACACACACTATGGGGGGCCTCGTAGCCTGGTGGATAGCGCGCAGGACTCGTAATTCTGTGGCGCGGGTTCGATTCCCGCACGAGGCAGAAACAAATGGGCAAAGTTTCTTTCACCCTAAGTGCCCCTGTTACCTAGCAGTAAATAGGTACCTGGGAGTTAGTCAGCTGTCACGGGCTGCTTCCTGGGGTGTGTGTGGTGTGGAAAAAAAAATAGTAGTTAGTAAACAGTTGATTGACAGTTGAGAGGCGGGCCGAAAAAGCAAAGCTCAACCCCCGCAAAAACACAACTAGTAAACACACACACACACACACACACACACACACACACACACACACACACACACACACACACACACACACACACACACACACACACACACATTTAAGCATAGATTTATATACAAGTCTAGCAATTTACATGTGTCATGTGACATAAATGTCAGACACATTGTATCTCTTTTCTAAAATAGGTAAAAAAACTCAGAAAATTATGAATTATACATTTAAATCGAAGTTTCCATTCATGAAGATTTATATGTATATTTTTGTTTATATTTCTGTAATTTATTTCATATTTTACGAGGGGAGGATTTAAAGCTGTTTATAGAGGCCAAAAAATCATATTAAAAGCAGTAAAAACCTCAGTAATAGAGTTTCTAATATATACTTACAAAAGATTAATGATATCAGAAATATTAATAATCTCAACTAAGAAACCATTTAACAAATATATATCGTAAAATTGCATACTTGTAATGCTTATGACATAATAATATGACCGTAAACCTGATTGACATTATGAAGTGACGTTAATTCGCGAATTTATAGAGACATGTATGTGTGTGTGAATCATGCTATATAGATACAACTTGACTCATTCACAAATGGCGAATAGAAATCTTTCACGTTATACATCAAGGGATGATTATGCACTCTGTCATAATCAGGAAGATTACAAGCATACGGAACTGCCCATTCCACCGACAGGTACGATAGCCAGGCTATTTTGTTTAGTTTGATATTACAGGGATGTGTAAATCACTTGGAGTTATAGGTCTTCTTCCTTAGTTTCGTTGTGGCGTTAGTTATCGTTATCGCGTGTCTCTCTATTTCTCTTTCTGTTCAGCTCTTTCTCTCTCTCTCTCTCTCACACACACACACACACACACACACACACACACACACACACACACACACACACACACACACACACACACACGCACGCACACACACACACACACACACACACACACACCCAACAGCTACAACAAGGCTACTAGGAAGAGTATCAAGAGTGAGACCTCACTTCTATATAGTCGCTGATAATTAAGTTTAGCAGTATCCCATCAACCGCTCTCCTACTCATCACAACAATCACTCTTCCACTCATCATCACAACCACTCATCATCACGAGAGTCTTTGATCTAAACTATTAAATCACCCGGACCACATAATTAGCTGACTGAGAAATAATATTCACAGAGCAAATGAGAAACATTGAAGTGTTTAATCCTTAAATGCGAGGTAAAAAGATTGAATTAATTGGATTTACACATCAGACAACTGTCCATATTAATTTTAATGGCCAGTTTGATCAGTTGAATTTTTATGAAATTCAAAAAGAATTTGTATATTAAATTTTACCGCATCTTAATTATATTTAATATTAATATAATATTTTTTTCCTTTTTTGATTACTTATGTTATTACAATTTTTTTTTATTATTTTTGTTAATAAAACTCTTACTTATGAAATAATTAAGTTAATAAATGACTGTAGTTTATAGTGTCTGTTGCTATTGCTGTTGCGTAACTCATTATTTAAACTATTTTAATCATCTCTATGCATCTATGATCATGATTAAAACTAAAACTACATTAATCCATCTGAAAGTATATGTTGTTGATGTAATCGTCACCTGAAGATGTTCCGGGCTCTAGCTCCTGGGCCCGTTCCTTCTGCGAGGATGGCTTCTGTGACTCTTTCTCAGCTTTAAATGTCGACAATCGCCCGTCTTTTCTCAGAATAATAGAAAGGTACTCTAGTTCTGGGAGAAAATTCGGTCTCACACAATGTGATATTGTCCGTAAAAGCTGTGGGGGGAAAATTCTATTATCTCCCCCACGAGTGGACATCTGTGGTTCCGTATATCTTTCCAACTATGTGATGTAATTTGGTTTGAAATTTTGAGTGGGTGTCCCCTGGATTTGGTGCAAATTAGTCTTCCCACCTTGGGGCCCTTATCTTGATTATTAACTCGCGATAATAACAGTCACTCTTCATAGGAAATCATTTATATATCATAGTTTTAGTTTTTTAAATTTGTGAAGACACAAAAATCGGTTTCTGAGATATAGACTGATGTTTATATTATTGGTACCAGACAAGCACTTATTGAAGCGGAAACTGCAAATTCTGAGATCTACTTCACTAACCTTTCCTTCCTACATTTAACTTCCGGAAACGCCCTGTGTATGTCTGGTTGTATTCGATATACATTATGTATCTACGAATAGTCCACTGTATCATGTAGCTTCTGTATACTTATTGTATTTAAATACAGATTAGAACTATTTTATTATTCTCATTCCTTGCTTCAATATGTCACCATCTTCCACATCTCACTCACTATCCATCACCCACTGTCTACCACCCACTGCCTACTGTCCACCCACTGTCCACCATCCACTGTCCACCCCCCCCCCCCCCACTGTTGCCTCTCTCCCCCTCTCCCTCATCTCACCACAAATTCTAGGTCACACTAGATCTTCATGTTACATGCAGTCCTATTAAGGTCAGTGATCTACGGGTTATTAGTGTATCATGGAAATTGCAACAATGTCTGATGATGCATGCAATTACTCCAGGGAGCCAGTGGCGCTGCCGAGACTGTGAAGGGAAGAGAGAGAGAGAGAGAGAGAGAGAGAGAGAGAGAGAGAGAGAGAGAGAGAGAGAGAGAGAGAGAGAGAGAGAGAGAGAGAGAGAGAGAGAGAGAAAGAGAGAGAGAGAGAGAGAGTCGGAAACAAACAGGCAGAGATGGGAAAACTAGTAACACATAGACAGAAAAGGGTGGAGACACAGAGAAAGACAAAACAAAACAGACTCATGGACAGAGAACGAGAAATAGACACATATACAGATAGGGACAGAAACATATGAAATAGAAAGACTACCAGACAGGTAGAGCTTGAAAAAAGAGAAACTTGTTAAATTCATGCTATGAAGAAAGAACAGAGAACGCTCACACAACTTTACATGTCGTGTATGAGAAGACAAGTTCAAAAATATTTAACTTTAATACTCATTTTGGTCGCGATATTTCCAACAGACACATTTAGTAAAATTCCTATAACTCTCCCACGAAATTAAAATAAATTTTGTTTTAGTTTCAAAGCATTACACAAAATACTAAGCAAAATTTAATTGCTGTTTGATCACATAATTTTATTTAAATACGAAATAAACGCATCGATTTCGATTCTCTGTCGAGCTATTGGAGAAAACGTGTCAGTTTAAAAGTGGTATTTCGTACTCTATTGAGCAGTGTCTCACACACATTATTCAACCTTTTCTCGTAGTCAGAGGCCAATTGTTCGTCAGTCTTGGCCTTCAATCCCTCTGTTTAAGACCGTAGAACATTTTACATATTATTTCACAACTATGTACGTCGACCAATCCAAGGCTAGCTATTGACAGAATTGTAAACTATTATCACTTCTATATATATATATATATATATATATATATATATATATATATATATATTTGATAAAATATCGGAATAACGATATATATAATGTTATTATATATATAGTGCTATATTATATAGCATTATATATATAACTAATGAATGAATAACGTTATATTTGATAAAAATATCGTATTCATTAAAAAAAAAAATGCATGAGGTTTTGGGGTTGGTCGCTGCTTGGGCGAGTATTGTCAAGGAATGGGGCGTAATTATTGGAGTTTGTCATACAAAATTAATTAACACAATTGTGGTGATATTTCTTAAAAAAGAAAAATAATATAGAACGGGTAGTGCATGCACTATTCTCTCTGTATCGAATTGCTTCGCTCTCTTTACTGAGCCTACGATCAATTTTCCTTTGAGGCACTTAGGTTGAGGAACGCTTAAATCAGAAACGTTCGCACACATTGAAAAGGATTTCCTGAAAAAATATTTAACGATCTTAAAATATTGTAAAATAATCTTTGATAGTCACAGATACAGAAATGCGATTGAAAGAGTTGTTATAACATATCACAGAGAATTTAGGATTAAATAATATATATATATATATATATATATATATATATATATATATATATATATATATATATATATATATATATATATTTATATAGACGAGAGGATTGTTTTTAACTGGCACAGTCATACAAACATACGGAGGGAACAATGAAATACAATGAGACTTTTATTTTTAGAAAACACATTCCTTAATCATGTAATATTTAACCAATTCCATATATAATAGAAATATAATATGTGCTTGAGATTCAAGAAGTCCACTTTTTGTCATATAGGAAATGCAAAAAAAACGCATCTGATTTTAGTTTGTGTTATTATTCCCAACGCATTGTCGTATCCGAGATTATGGAAGTATTACCGGATGAGTTAGAAGCCAATTCAGCATTTGGGTATCTATTGTCTTTTTTTTTTAATCTTGTGATAAGTTAGCCGTTCCTCTTTTTTTGTGGCCATGCAGCAGTTTCGTCCGGTGCAGCAGAAGAAATACGAACAGCAGAAGCAACAACAGAGGCGGCAGCAGGAGGAGGAGACGTAGAAGAGGCAGAAACAGCGGTCAGAGATACAGAAGAAGCAGAAACAGCGATCGGAGATACAGAAGAGGCAGAAACAGCTATTGGAGACGGAGAAGAGGCAGAAACAGCGATCAGAGATACAGAAGAGGCAGAAACAGCGATCAGAGATACAGAAGAGGCAGGAACAGCGATCAGAGATACAGAAGAGGCAGAAACAGCGATCAGAGATACAGAAGAAGCAGAAACAGCGATCGGAGATACAGAAGAGGCAGAAACAGCTATTGGAGACGGAGAAGAGGCAGAAACAGCGATCAGAGACGCAGAAGAGGCATCAGGATCGGCGGTATGGGAAGCATTATCAGCAGCAGCAGTAGAAGGAGGTGAAGCAGCAGGCTCGGAAGCTAAAGCAGCTGGAGAAGCAGCAGCAAAAGAGGGTTTTTGACGGGGCAGCAATTAGGGCGTGTCTGAGGTGCGGAGTTTGACCGCTAATTACGTCCCTTTTTCTCGACCTCTTGCGCCTTAGACAAGAGGCTCAAGAGGCTCATTTTTTCCCACTTTCTTTATGTTTTCTTCAATTCTTTCCTCTCCTCCATTTCCCTCTCACGATTTTATGCAATTGATTTTATCAGTTATTTGCTTCGTTAATTAATCCTAATAAATGGGATGCGCACCATTTGAGTTATGGATTTATTGACCTACCTGTTCTTAGTAATCCTAGATGTCACTTTTTTTTGTTTATATAGATTTTTTACACTAAAATTAATATACAATTCGGGATTTCTTCTGTTTTTTGGCTGTTGCAGTTCACAAATTACAAACTTAACATTAATGGCTTTGAAATAAAACAACTTCAGTAAACACGTGAACACTAATGCAATTTCAATGCCGCTGGTGATCGGCAGACACACATATACGGTGTTCGGTTTTGAACTTTTGAAAAAAGAGCATTTCGTAATTATTTCACAATTGACTCATTTTTCTATATATTTTTGTGTATTCCTCAGCTAGTTTTTCTTGTAATTTTAATTGTAACTGTTATTTCTTAAATTTTTATTTACGATTTCTCGCTATGAACCTTCTCTGAATATTTCATTAATCTTTCTTTAAAATCTGGCATGTCGTTATCATTTCTCCCTTGTTCCTACGGCATTTCATCGTGGTAAGTGACAGTTATCTCGGGCATTCTTCGTAGCCTTCTTACCTCAGAATCAAGCCTGGATAAACTTCATTAGATAATTTGCTTTATTATTTTTGTATGGGGTTCCATGCCGGTACCGCACGATCAACAGTAGGTCTAACATTTAATTATTAGTGTAACAGTTATGATTAAATTTATTGCATTCATTATCATTATAAATTTGTATTATTAATCATTATAATCGAAAATATTTTCGTTAATTCTTACTATAATTATTTGAACTATTTCAATTATTATTATTTGAAAGGGAGCAGTAGAACAACAGAAGTACACTTACATCGCATCAGGCTTGGATACCCATGTGCATGGGAAATAGGCTTACAGGTTCCGGAATATGAGAGGAAATGTCAGCACTGTGGGGAAATGCCCGACAGACTACTGGAACATTATCTAACACAGTGCACAGTTACAAACCCATTACGATTTCAACTTAGATTCAACAGAGCAGAAGAAGTTGTTAAACACGTGGGACAAAATTTTACTGAAGCGACCATACGCGTCATAAATACTCATACTTCGCCCAAGTAAAACAGAAACAAGCAACACTTAGGGGGCCAGCCAGAGGCTTAGGGCCCGCGCAGGAATATCCCTGCAATATATATATATATATATATATATATATATATATATATATTATTATCATCTTGAGATGTTTTCTGGGCTTAACGTCAACGCGGTCCGGTCCTCGACCAGGCCTCCTTTTTTGCTACACACCCCCAGGAAGCAGCCCGTAGCAGCTGTCTAACTCCTAGGTACCTAGTTACTGCTAGATGAACAGGGGCATCAAGGTGAAAAAAACATTTTGCCCATTTGTCTCCGCCTCCACCTTGGATCGAACCCGGAACCTCAGGATTGCGAATCCGAAGCGCTGTCCACCCAGCTGTCAGGCGCCCTTGACAGCTTATTATTATAATTTAAATACAAAATTGATAGTTTTTATTAATTTTGTTACATTTAAATCATACAATAATAGAAGAATGTTTTCAATATTTCCCATCACTTAATTTTTGCAGAATCTCTGGAAGGAAAATCATTTCAGATGTCTGAGTTGAGTACATTAAGAAAATGAAATTTCCCCATTAGTAATATTAAAGCCACATACGACTCTTATCAGATATTCTAACAGAACGAAAAAAGAAGCAAAACCTTGGCTTCAGTTTAATTAAGAATTTTGAGGGGTCGAATTGGAGCTATATTGTGTATTGTGTGTGTGTGTGTGTGTGTGTGTGTGTGTGTGTGTGTGTGTGTGTGTGTGTGTGTGTGTGTGTGTGTGTGTGTGTGTGTGTGTGTGTATTCACCTAGTGGAATTCATCTAGTTGTGCTTGCCGGGATTGAGATCTGGCCCGCCTCTCAACTGTCAATCAATCAACAGATCCCCTCCCTCCCACACACATAGTGTGTGTGTGTGTTTTCTATAAACCTTGTGGTTTATAGCAAAATTCTATTACAAAAAGCTGCATTTTGACCAGGGTAACGTTTTAACACCATATCCAAATTTATCCTAAAAATACAGTGCTTGTATTGTATTGATGGTTGAAAAACAAATGACACGCACCACCAGAGGATCAAACACAGGCGACACGCACCACCAGAGGATCAAACACAGGCGACACGCACCACCAGAGGATCTAACACAGGCGACACGCACCACCAGAGGATGATCAATAAGGGACACGCATTACGAGAGCCGAGAGGTAAAGAGGCTAAGCACAGTCTGGCGTGAGTCGACTGTCACTACCCTGATAGGCACGGCGCATGCAGCCGTGAGACCCCTGCCAGTCACTGACACAGTAACCCAGTAAGGCCAAACAAGTCCTGAATCCTGCGATCAATGCGTATTCTGCCAGAAAACCCATAATCTCCGCTCGCTAATGAGATGATTATAGCTCTTGGATAACGGGGAATAGTGGAACAGGGAAGTAAAAAGAAGTGGATAAAGAGAGAGAGACAGAACATGGGAAAGACAACGTAAGATAAAGGAGACTATTGGGTAGATTCAGATATATGATATAATGTAGATTGAGACGACTGGATTAGGTAGACTGTAGTCACTATTCTTTTAGTTTGTGATATGTTGATTTTATTTTGTTTTACCAGGATAAGGTTGTAAGAGTGATGACCTCAATCCTGGTGGGATCCTCGACTTCCTGATGGTCGTATCCTCATATCCATAATCCATGTGTACATATCTTTTCTAAAACTCTATTTGGTCATACAGGTTTATTGATTTCTCCTAAACAAAAATTCTTACCTTACCTCATCAAATTTCCAAAATATATTTTTCCATACAACACAACATTTGTCAAAACTCGCTAAATCATTGCCTAAAATACTGCAAATCGGAAACAGCACGCAAATTTGCCAGGAAATATTTTGAATAATCTTGCATTAAAAAAATGCAATTAAGAATTTGCATACCAAGTATATAATGACTGATCATCAACAAATATGTCAGAAGATGTTCAATATAATGCATTTAGGAAGAGTGTTTTAAGTTATATCACAATGCTAAATGTTAAAATACATCAAACGGGAATAGATTTAAGGAACACATCAGACAACAAGATTAATTTTAACAAACAAATATATCATCATGACCCGTTCATCCTTAATGTTTCATCTGGTAGGATTTTGATCTCAATAGTTTTTCTAATGGAAAATTTACCATCGAGACATGTTAATAAGGTTAGGTTAGGTCAGGTTACTTTGATTAGATTAGAATTGGTTATTAAGGAGGGTGATGTGAAGTAACATAGCTTTAAACGAGAGTTGGGTTTTATAACCAACTGGGCAACACCTGAACAGCTTACCTGAACCCAAGCAAACTCATTTATGATAAACTTATTACTTGAAAGATGCATCTAGAATACACTTCATTTAAAGCTAAATTATTATCATATTAGTTACTGGATGAAACTTGATTTGTGTGCCATAGCCATCATATGGTCCGTTTCTGCTATATCATACGTTTCTATATTATCATTTTCCACATCCAATCAGTCAAGGGAAGAAATTCATGCAAGAGGTATTAATGACCCTTGTAGCAGTTTACATTTCTTTTCTTCCATATGTAATAGTGCACTGTCTTCAGAGCATAAGCGATTAGGTGAAGTAATCGTTGAAGTAAACATTCCTCATCAAGGGTCAATGCACAAAGTCCTGTGGTACATTGGTGACAGTTGAGTGCCTCTCAGATTCTGCTCCATTGAGGACTACCTCTTAGAGTCCTCGATGATGGTAAGTTCCCTATTATAAGTAAGATGGAACCTGAGTTACCTATAGTGCCTAAAGCTTTGCTAGTAGTCTCTGATGCTGCATTCGATCAAAGCAATGTCCACCTGCAACAACGCATCTGATATTTAAGTTATCTAGTGAATATCTCTCTCTCTCTCACTCTCTTTCACTCTCTCCCACCCTCAAAAACAAATTGAGTCGTAACTCTGACTGGAAATACCGGCAACCCATATTTTGCAGGTGGATGAATCAGGTCGACTCTCTCTCTCTCTCTCTCTCTCTCTCTCTCTCTCTCTCTCTCTCTCTCTCTCCTCTCTCTCTCTCTCTCTCTCTCTCTCTCTCTCTCTCTCTCTCTCTCTCTCTCTCATCTCTAAAAAGTTAAAACATTTTATGATTTTATGCAGATGCTAGAGCCAATTTGAAAGTCATTAATTCTGAGGATCACACTGAAAAAGCGAGTCAAAGCTTTGTATTTAAATTCTGTTGCCTATTAAAGAACGAAACAATTGCAAGGTTGAGTGGTCCCAACAGATATTGCAATTAATTCGATGTTACTGACTAAAAAAAATCTATTTGTATTAATAGCATATATATATATATATATATATATATATATATATATATATATATATATATATATATATATATATATATATATATATATACATATAGTAGAATCTTCAGCAACTTAGAACATCACATTAGCGTATACAAGAGGGAGAAAGAGAGAGAGAGAGAGAGAGAGAGACAGAGAGAAAGTGTGTGTGAGTGACAGAGACAGAGACAGCAAGTGAGACAGAGAGATCACGTACTAGTTTTTGTGGCTAGAGCAAATGGATTTTATTTTTGTCCTTCCTGCATTCTGGCATGTTTTCCTTTTATGGGTTTTCGTTTGTGTGGCAGCCTCTTTCATGGTGTGTTTTTCTTTAATATTTTTGCGCGTGTTTGGGGTGGGGTGGGGGAGAGGTCTCTCTTTTATCAGTGCATGAGAATAACATATGTATGGAGCG